AAAGACAAGGTCCGATAGCCAGCAGAATGAGGGAAAAAAGAGATGTCCCAGCAGAGGGATTACCCCTGGCATGGACATAAGCCATGTCCATTGTTTGTTGTTAGACGTTGGCGCACATTCCTGAAATCTCTTAAAGGCATCAGGAACAACCCCAGTCTGGTTGACATAAATCAACATTCTTCCTGATGAAGCATGAGTGTGTTGATGACATGGTTTTGAGTGGCAACCTGTGTAAAAGAATGTAGCCTTTGGGAGATAAAGTAAGATATGCAGTTAAATACACATGGGCCAGTGATAATCAGCCTGAGAAGGAAAACCAAGGGATCTTGGGGTATAGACATTGGCTAAAGGTTTAAGTAGAAAGAGCTGGGAGGAGGGGAGAAAGGTGTGTATAGGTAAGCAGTCCAGACACAGGTGTGGCCTGGTTAGTTGTTATCTCATTTCTTGTTTTGGGAGAGATTTCAGAGTTGTTATCTGGAGGGTGCTCCAGCCTGAGCCTATTGTTGGGGGCAGTTTTAGTACTTTGACATGAAGGTAGGCAAACAAAAAATAGGATTTATTAGAGAAAGGAAAGGCTACAGTTAGAGCAGTGCAGCAAAGCCTGGAAACTAGTGGCTTTCCACTCATGTGAATGCTGGGACTTTTTATGGACACTTTAACTCTGGGTTAGGGTAAGGGTTAGGAGGGTTCTTTCGACTGGCCATGGATTCACATGCACAGGCTCTCTTCAATGAGCTGGTTTGTTTGCCCCTTATGGGAGGAAACAACCTTGACAGCATTCTGTTTATAGGCCCTGTGGCAGATTTATGAGGCCATGTATCTCCTCTCAGGGTGCAGGGCTCATAGTGCTGTCAATGGGGGATGGGATACTGACACACTCATCTGTACCTTAGGTTCCAAGACCCAACAAGTCCCCCCTCTGAGACAAGAACCCAACTGCTGTTGCAGGGAGGGGTGATGACTCATCTAGCTGCTGACAATGGGCAACAGGGGGTAGGTGTGTTCGTACTTGTCTTAGGGCTTGACCCGTGTAGTTTCTAGAGGCCCCCAATAGAACTGGATGGAGGGCTCATGCATAGGCAAAGGTGAGTATTCCTTGACTAAGAGCTGGAATTTGATCTGCTGGACCTGTTCAGATATGAATCTGGAGACAGCATTTATTATACAAGGCCCAAATAGGAGTATTAGAAGGAGGATAAAAAGGGGGTCAGCCAGAGGTAGTGCCCAAGGAGCCCAGCTCCATATGTTGTTCCAGAGGGACCATGAATTGGCTAGCTCACTGTTGTGAGGGGTTATTGGGATCTAAAAAGGCAAACAGAGGCTGACTGTTAGGATGTAGAGGAATGTAAAAGAAGGCATCCTTTAAGTATACTATAGAGTAATATTGGGCTTTTTGAGGGTATTTGAGCAAATAGCAGATGGGGATTGGGAACAATTGGGTGGAGGGGAATGACTGTATTATTAACAAGGTTTTATTTGTTTGGTCCTTTTTGGACAGCAAGAATAGGAGAATCATAGGAGTGGAGCAACTGATTAGTAGTCCTTGTTTTTTTTAAGGAATTTATGATAGGAAAGAGGCCTCATCATTGTTCAGGCTTTAGGGGATACTGTTTTTGATGCTGAAACTGTGAGGGATCTTTAAGTCTTATTTGAATTGGGAGGGATGTTTTTGCTTTCCCTATAGTCATTCCATCAGTCTACATTGTGGGATCTACTTGTTCCTGAAGAAGGGGGCAACAGAGATAGTCCCACAGGGTGGGGGGAGTAGAATTTGAACCTTTAGTTGAGATAGTAAATTCTGTCCCAGTAGGGGCACAGGAATCTCAGGGACTATGAGAAAAGACTGACAGAAGTGGAGGTTTCCCCAAGAGCAGGCTAGAGACCAGATAAAATAGCACTCTAGGGGCTGGCCAGAATGTGCTCTGAATGATAAACTTGTTATTGGAGCAGGGACCAGGTGAGAATGGTAAGACAGAGAAACAGGCTCCACTCTCTAGGAGAAAGATGACCTTTTGCTTCTCTACTATTATGGCTACCAAAAGCTCCTGAACTCCGGGTTAGGGTAGGGGTTAGGTGGGTTCTTTCCATTGGCCATGGATTTGTGCATGCAGGCTCTCTTCAATGAGCTGGTCTATTTACCTCTTATGGGGAGGAACAACCTTGAGAGCATTCTGTTTATCAGCTCTGTGGCAGATTTATGAGACCCTGTATCTCCTCCTCAGGGTGCAGGGCTCACAGTGCTGTCCTTGGAGGACGTGATAGTGACGCATCATCTGCCCCTGAGGTTCCCAGACCCAACAGTACCGCTTATAATTTTTTATGTTTGTACATTTTTAATCTTGACGGAATTGGCGTTTCTTGGCCACTGATAAATTAGGGCAGGAAAAGGGGACAAATAGCTGGCAGCTAAGTCAAAAGTATTTGTTATAATAAGTCTAAAACTAGAAAAACTTTTGTAAAGCAGAATACAGAGTACGTAAAAGTCAGAAGACTGTATACAGGAAAATTTAAAGGCCATGTTGAATGAAAGTTCAGCAATGGGGAGCCATCTAAGAAAAAGAACAGGATGGAAGAGATTGAACAGGAAAAAAGAGTGGGAGGGGCAGCAGGGGACATAGGATGACTTCAGTCTTCACTTATGATCTGGGAGCAACCTGGGAAGCTGCTGCTGTCTTCTGCTTTCCAGCAAGAGCAGAAACCTGGGAATTGAAACTTCATGCCCATTCTGGGTTTCAGCACGATCTGTTAGACTGAAAGAGGCAAAGAATAAATAGGCAAGAGACAGCTCAAGGGCCAGCAGAGAGTTTATTCAGGGTGAAACCCTGCAGGGGGAGTATCTAGCCAAAGCCAGAACCCCACTGCTGCTTACAGACTTGGAATAGATATAGAAGAGGGGTCCAGAGGGAAAGCTTAGCTGGGCAGGAAAATTTTTCTGGGATTAAAAATTACTAGGGGAATCTAGAGGAGATGAGTGGTAATTAGGTAGATTGACTAGCTCCTGACCCCTAGCCAGGTGAGAGTTTGTCATTCCCTTGAGATTAGGTGTGGTTCTTCCTGTAGGTGGTGGGTTCCAGTAAGCTGTCTGCAAAGGTGGGGGTCCTAACATGGCTTCCATTTTGTTCACCCTAACAGTGGGCAGGCCAGTTTAGAGACTGAGCAATTGATGTGATACAGAAAATTGCGAACTATAGATTTTGGGGTATTCCAGCCAGATTGTCCATATAGAAACCTTCCATCAAGAGCATCCCTGACAGAAAACACTCAGAGGTCAGCAGCCCCACCAGAACTTTCCACAAAAGCCCCAATGAATAAGGTCAATTTAAAAAACCAAACACCCAGCCCTCACTGACTGAGAACCTCAGTTATTGCAGTTGTTTGGTAACAACCAACAAGCATGAACTATCTAAATGAGCAAGGCTGGGATTTATAAGGACACACCCTGGAACACTCCACGTCTTCAAACCACTATTTCTGCTTGGAAACTCACTACCAGAGGCAGACATAGAGAGGGGGAGGATTGGACAGGGTCCAAGTGGGAAAGGCAGCCAGTGAACCTGCCCTCTGAAGCCACTGGCCCCCACTTCACAGATGAAGTGACCCCACCAGCTCCCAGCTGTCCACATTTCACGGGATGTCTTAACCCCTATCTATGGAGGCCTCTTGGACCCAAAATGATTCAGAGGACAAAGTTCTGCAAACTGACAGTCTCAGCTGCCCTTCCTGGAGGCCCCGGCTAGAAATGCAACTCTGCTGAATCTGCTTCCATAATGACCAGGACAAGCACAGAGAAAAGTGATTCTCGTGAACAAGGAGTGTAAGCTTGTTGCTGTTGTTTTATGTTTTTAAAAAATGTGTTCTGTTTATTTGTTGTTGCTGTTATTGATATTATCTTGCTTTTGCTTTGGTCCTTTGTTTGATTCCTCTCAGTCAATTTTTTCCGTTAGCCTATTTCTCTCCTTTCTCTTTCATCATGTATTTCTCAGTTATTAATATCTAGAACCCTCTTGTACTACTATCTCCTACAGCGCTCTTCCATACTTCCCTTTATCACCCTCCCTTCCCCACACATAACCCCCACAATACTCAATTTCCAATCCTTATACCTCAAACTTGTGAACTTCCTACCTCAGCCTCCCAAGTAGTTAGAGAAATGAACTACCACACCTGGCTTGCTTTTGAGATAGGGTATCACTAATTTTTTCTCTGGACTGGCCTCAAACTGTAATCCTCCTGTCTATGCCTCCTGACATCGGTGAGCATCTTTATAAATTATTTTAAATTCTCTGTTGGGCAGAACATGTACCTGCCCATTCTTGGGGTCAGTTTCAGGAGTTATATTTGTTTGGTCATTTTCCCTCTTTATTTGTATGTTATGTAATCTTTTGCTGGAATATTGATTGACATTTAGGAAAAATAGACCATCTCTCCTGGTCTTTGCATATTGGCTTCATGCAAGGGAAAACCTTTACCAGTCAGCCTGACTAGACATTGTAGGACCAATTTGATCTCATTCTGTGGGCTATCTGAAATATGGAAATTTGAATTAATGTGGGAAAGATAGAAGTCATACTGGGGAAAATGTAATTTAAGAACACATCATTAGCAAACACTATGCCATTGACAAAATGTAAGCACTATTCACATTTGTTTTCTCTTTATGCTTTACTATGAGTTTTGAGGTGTGAATCACTGTCTCCAAATAATGATAAGTAAGGAGCACGAGAGGTTGTGACTCATCCGAGATTTCTTAACTGAAGGAAACTGTCACAAACTAAAGAATTATGTCTAATTCTTTCCTTTATTCCTCAAGACAGCCATAATTCTTGACTCCCATATGGATGAACCAGTCTCCTCCTAACTAAAACCCATCTTTGCTGGCTGTGCAGGGTTCCGGGTTTGGCAAAGAAACTTTGTATCTAAAGGAAAGAGTGACTGCTACTCTTTATGTGCATCTTCCTGCAAATGAAGGGCAGGGACACTTCTGGAGAAGGCTCTCTTTTCTAAGTGGGAGGGTGTAGAGGCTTTTTTAAAAAAGGCTTCTTTCTCTGTGACACTGGACCAATGAATATGCTACTCACATTTTCCTCATTGTATGGACAATGCTGGATATAGGGTCTTAATAAGCCTCTAAACTGATGTGTAAGAGTATAGATGAGGGACTTATCATCTAAATTAAAGAATGAGAGGATCCCAGCCTCATAATCCAAGAAGATACCCACTTGTGTGGGGTTTGTTCTTACGAAGAGGTGGACTCTATCAGGAATGAATACAAAACACCAATTATCTGTCTCTTGTCCAAGGACCCAGTACCCATTAATTGGAGACAAAGTCACATACTGCTTCCTATCCACATCATCGAAGCACACTCCCAAATACCACCTTTTGTTATGTCCTACATCTACTTCCCAGTAATGTCTCCCTTTCTGGAAACCCTGAGAAGTCACCACACACATTCTCATGAATCTCTTCTCTGAGATGTCCACTTCTTGGGGAGCATTTCTCCATATTACAGTTTTCAGATCAGAAATGTAGAGCTTGGGATGAGCCGTGTCTGGGTCCAGAGTCAACTCCACTAATCATATTAGGGAAAAGAGAAAGAACATATGTTACTGTGAGGTAGGGGAACTTGAACTAGGCCCAGAGCTCACCTTCCACAGCACACTGACACAAGTTGGGATTAGGTGAAGTCTAGGAGAAAAATATCCTTTGGACACTGTCCTTTCAGACTCTTCTCTCATCTTTACTACAGCCTGGAGATTCATTGACACTTGAGGTCACAAACGCCTTTGTATCATCCTGTCTCTACCACTGTCCCTCCATGTAAGTTCAGTATTTGATTTTGTGAGGCCTTACATAACTCTACCATCCAAGTTTCTCCCATTTATCCATTTTTTCCCCCAAATAGACTATGTCTTCATCATCTGAGCCACCTGACCAGTTACTAGTATTCTTGATTTTCTGGAGCTTGGGATATAACCCCCCCTTTCACTTGCATCTTAGATGGGTGGAGAAGTAAGTGTATCTGGTGGGAGATGCTCCCTGATGTGAACCACAGTTTCATCATATGCTGGTCACAGGTCCTCAGTATCACTCAGAAACCCCACATCTGTCACTTGTCAGCTCCCTCTCCTATGCCCATCCAAGGCTCTGTCTGACTGCCGTTTCCTCATCCCTTGGTACCTGCATGTTTTTGGATTTCTCTCCATTCTGAAAATAAGCAGAAAGAGCAAGCATCTCATTACTCATGTGGAGAGCAGAAAACAGAGAAAGGGGTGAGACGAAAGGAAGTTGCCCTCTTTGGGCCAAGGATTCATTAGAAATCTCATGAGGCCAATAAAATTTTTCAAAATGTGCCTCACCCAATTATTCACAATAGCTAAACTATGGAAATAGCCAAGAGCCCCACTACTGATGAAATATGATGAAGTCAATAAAGCCTCTTTACAAAATGTGCCTCACCTAGTACCTGCCAAGTATCTCCACACAAGTGTGTCCTTTGTGGCACCTGTGGGCCTCAGGTATAAGAACCCAGGGACATAAAAGGAAGATACAAATGGGGAGTGAGGAAGAATGGCTTTTCTTACCTGTACACCTGTGCATCTTTTCCAATTCTGAAACCAAAAGCACAGAAGAGGCTCAAGTCACAGAATGGGACACAGGGGAAAGTGTGAGAAGAAAGTTTTGCACATGATAATGTTCTTACCCAGTTCATTCTCAAGTTCCCCTGAAATAGAGAAAAGCAGAATATTGAGTGGTGATACAACCTAGACAAAGGTGCAATAATCAAGGGGAGCTGAAGGAGACACTCCACAGGCTCCTCAGCATTCTGGGTCCACATACCTTCAGAAAGATCATGAAATATATTTTTCTTGTCTTGAATTAATAGGAAAAATTTCCACACAGTTTTAGAATGTTTCCTGACCTTGATTCCCACCCTAAAGCCCAAATACTCTGGTTTCTCTTTAGATTTTAATCTTTTTACACAAGCCTTTTACTAAAGCTCCTAGATATTTAAGGATTGGTTTCTTGTTAAAGAAGAGGGAGAGAAAACCAGCTGACCTCATGACCCAAACTTTCTGTCCAGGGGCTCAACAGATAGCTCAAACAATCTAGGCCTCAGAAGAATAGTGTATAGGAAGGGTCCAAACATAATAAAATACTAATTCTTTCTGATTTTTTTCCTGAAACACAAACAGCATTTACTGGTCAATGGAGCAGTGTATAAAGTATAAACACAAACCTGACTCCTTGCTCAGGTGGGACAAGATAGGAGTCTGGTAGGGCCTCTCCTGGAACTCTCCTTTTGTCTAGACTCCAATCCCTATACTGAACATTTCTATGTATAATCCAACAAGAGATTAGTATCACTCACACTGAAGAAAGGGATGAAATTCAAGGATTCTGTAGTTGTAAGGATGAGGATATCAGGGAGTAGATTGATGAGTTGGGGAGGTGGAATTATAGCATGGACCCTTAGAGGGGAATGTCATCTCCACAGAGGAGAAAAATGACTCTTAGGGATGAAAACTCTTTTTAAAGATAAACATTATTTCATCTTGTTGTCCACTTTTACTTATATGTATATATATACTTACATGTATATATATATATATACATACATATACACATATAAAATAGGTACTCTTTTCAAGTACAGTGATCCCTTTGTATGAAGACTTTGTGCAATCCTCAGAAATTTCTATCAGCTCTGAAGTTCCTGAGAATCATGCGTTCCTTAAATCTGGGTCTTCTATAATGTAGGAAGAAATGTGGTCATGCTGGCATTTCCTGAGTGAGTTACTTAAGGTCAGTATAAAAGAGAAGAAGGATTGGGATCCTTGAGGACAACAAGATGGATCTCAAGAGGTCTGAGAACCCCTGATGCTAGATCATGAATCAACACAGTCATGGGCCCATGATTTCTCTCTCTCTCATATATCCTTACTTACTCATTAATTTGAAGGGCAAAATGCTCATTCTAATGATCCAAGCACATCCGCCAATGCAGAGGAGCATCAGTACAATAGAAGGTGGTAACCAGGGTGAAGTCTGGAAAAATGTCTCTGAAAAACAGTATGAGATCCCTGAATGTTTGCTTAAATGCAATGGTCATTTCATTCTCAATTAAGAAATCCTCTTGCACTCCAGGGTATTTTTGTATAATTTCTTCAAAATTTTAAAACTTTGCATTTCTGGTGGTACACCTCTTTAATCCTGGTACTTGGGAAGCAGAGGCAAGAGGATCATGAGTTTGAGGGCAGCCTGGGTGACATAGCAAGGCCCTGTCTCAAAAACCAAACAAACCCTAGCACAATACCACCAAAACCAAACCAAACAAATTTAAAAGAAACCTTTCAATTTCTGAATAAGTCTTGATCCACATGGATTTTATTGTTGTATCTAAATGAGGTAGAGGTTCTATTTCATTTTCTTCTAAATGAACAATTGTACCAGTATAATTTACCCCAAAGCACTACACAGTACCTGCCATTTTCTACTTACCTCCTATCAATAATCTAGATTTCACTTCTGGGCTCTGGTCAGTAAGTTGCATGGAACATGATATGATGCCAGAATTTTCTTGAACTGTCAGGGAGGTCTCCACATCAAATCGACCATGTATGTCTTTATTCACTTTGAATTGTGCAGGAATTACAAATCCTTCTGGACCTTTCCACTTCACTATTGGCTGGGATAACCAACCAGAGGACTGACAGAGTAGCTGGATGCCTCCACCAATGTATCCCACAATGGAAATGAGAGGAGTTGAGCCCATCTCTGGGTGAGGGTGGGAGTGGGGGAGACAGAGAAAGAGTGAAAACAAAAGTCATATCCCAAGGTCAAAGCTGTCCTAAACCAGGTTCATTAATCCCATCCACAAAACAACTCTCCCTTTATCTCTCCTTCTCTCTCTTACACATGTGTAAGGCTTTTAAACCCTGCCTGTTTATTCAATGAGCATTTATTTAGTAATTACTACATACATGGCTACTCCTAATATTTAAACTTGATGAAGTAAATGAGACAGAGCTCCTTCTGATATGGTACTTGCTGAGTAAACAGGGAGATTAATAAACAAATAAAATTGCAAATCCACAAGAATGGTCAAATTAGCACTAAAGAGAGAGTGGATGATTGTTAGGAGATTCATAGTTTCCCAGAGGTGACATTTGCACTTTGCTGTATCAGATGAATGGGATTCTGTAGCTGGACAAGTAGAGGAGATAGAGAAGCATTCCAGACAAATGAGAAAGAGCATACCATGGAATGGAGAGTAGATGTGCCAAAGTGCTTTCAAGAAATACCTATTAGAATTTAGTATTTCTGGACCATGATGTGCAAGAGGAAAAGGAAGCAAGATGAGATTCTGTGCCAGACTCAGATATGGAGTGAATGTTTTGATTCTAGGAATGTGGACCATACCCTGTAAGCAGAGTATGTACTGAAGCCTTATAGGCCATTGGCTGGTTTACATCAAGTGGTAGTTATGACTTGAACTTTATCTTTGAGATCATTTCTAAAGCATCATGAAATAGGGGTTCCAGGGTCTCCTAAAAAGAGGAGTGACCAGACAGACAGACTCTGATGTCACTCAGGTGAGCAAAGAGAAAGACAAGAGAAGAAGGCTATGAGAAAGGAGAAACAGATATAGGAGTTATTTGAGAGTTTGATTTAAAGCACTAACTAAAATACAAGGAAAGTTTAGTATAATTTCCATTTATGATTTGGGATGCTAAGGTGAGCACTCATAGCTAACACATCCTTGATCATTTGCCATTGCCCATCTCCCCAGTCCAGACAGAAATTTTGTTCTATGTGCCACTCCATGCCATTCCCAATATCTTGACCAGGGTACAGAGCCATATAAATGTTTGTTGAAGGAATAAATGACTAAATGAAAGGTGTAAGTTCTCAGGAAGGGAGTCCTTATAAAACAGTGCAGATTCTTTTCTCTCTCATTCTAAATTTCTAAGTAAAAATTTAAGCCCCAGATATAACACAAAAGGCAACCATTGGGAAACTCTGGAAATGGAGAAAAGAACATAGGCTGACTAGGGAAATAGGATTGAAACTTTGTTACTTACCAATAGAAGTTGTCTTAGGTAGTCTCACTCCCTCCCACAGCCTATCACTTTCACCAGCTGAATCCAGTAATACTGGTAGAAGAGTTGAGCAACAGCCCCATTGACAAGAAATCAGGGGGAACACTGTTTGTCCCTGTGGAACAGAGTCTCTCCTGCCTCACCTAGACGTAACGGGAGTCTTACCTTATATAAGACTCCTATATGGGGAAGCAGATTCCATCTCTACAGGCAGCTCTAGAATTAATGAGCAGGAACCCCAAGATCAGCAAATCATCCAAGCATATGAAAAATAACAAAGGCTCAAAAACTGTCTTTGTAACCACAATTGGCAATAGCAGACCCAGTCCTGAGTACTAACTCTCAGGGTAACTATCTGATTAAATTAAAGCTTTCAATAGGACCCAGCATATTCTGAAACAATTACCTAAATATCCATATTTTTAACAAAAATCACCCACCATGCTAACAAGTGGGAAAATGTCAACTTCATTGGGAACAATGGATGGATTCCCAAACCAAGAGTAATCAGATGTTGGAATTAGGGAGTTTTAAATAGCCATAACAAAAATGCTTCAATAAATAATTAAAATATCTCTTAAAAATGTATGCAAATATGAAAAAATCTTACAATAAAGAGTTATAAAAAGTATCACACTGATACTATATAACTAAAAGATTAACTGAAATAAAAATGTATTGAGTGGGATTAAAAGTACAGTAGAAATGATAGAAGATACAGCCAGTGAATTTGAGTATAGAGCAATAGAACTTACTGAATTTTAAGAGTAGAAAAACAATTGATTTTTTATTAGTATGTATTAAATTGCACAAAGTAAGGGGTTTCATCCTGACATTTCCATACATGCATTTAGTGCACTTAGATCATGTTCACCCCTTTAATTACTCTTTCGTATGCCCCATTCCTTTTCCCCATTGTTCTTCCTCTTCCTATTAATCACACTTTCACTTTCATAACCTTGATTTTTGTTTGTTTTGTTTTCCCCTAGCATCCACAAATAAGAGAAAACATATGATATTTGTCTTTGTGGAATTGGCTTGTTTCACTTAAAAGGATGATCTTCAGTTCTATCCATTTCCCAGAAAACAACAGAAATTCATCGTTCTTAATGGCTGAATAAAACTCCATTGTGTGTGTGTATATATATATATATATATATATATATATATATAGCACATTTTCTTTATCCACTTATCCATTGATGGGCATGTAGGCTGACTCAGTAGTTTAGCTATTATGAATAATGATCTGGTACACATGGATATCCAATTCTACAGGAAGGAAACATAAAGGAAAATCTCCACAACAGCAATCAAGATAAAGATTTATTTTGACATAAGTACAAAAGTACAGGCAACAAGAGCAAAGTAGAAAAGTGGGTTGATGTCAAACTAAAAGCTTCTCCATAAGTAAGGAAGTGATCAAAAAAAGGAACAGACAATCTACAAAACGGAGAAAATATTTTCAAACCTTACATTTGATTAAGGGTTAGTATGAAAAATATATAAGAAACTCAAACAACCCATTAGTAAGAAAATAACTAGCATGATTTAAAAATAGATAAGGGACCTAAAGGGATATTTCTCAAAGAAGACATACATGACAAACAAGTATATGAGAAAATGTTCAACAATGTTGACCATTAGGGAAATGCAAATTAAAACTACAACTAGATATCACTTCACATTTACTAGAATGATTATCATCAAAAAGGTGGAAGATAACAAGTGCTGATGAGGATGTGATGAAAAATAAGCCCTAGTGCACTGTTGGTAATAATATAAGTTAATATAGAGTGATTAAAAGAAACAATATGGAGCTTCCTCAAAAAATAAAATTAGAAGCCAGGAATGGTGGTGCACAAATGTAATCCCAGCACTTGGGAGGCTGAGGCAGGAGGTTAAAGAGTTTAAAGCCAGTTTGGGCTACAAATCAAGCTAAAAAATGAAACACCTAAAACTAAAATTAGGACTATTACATGATTACCAAACCCACTTCTGGATATAAATCACTATGTTGAAAAGATATCTGGACTCTCATGATTATTGCAGCACTATTCATGGTAGCCAAGATATGAAAATAACTTAAGTATCAATTTATAGATAAATAGAAAAAATGTGGTATAGATACACAGTGTAATATTGTTAAACCTTTCAAAAGAAGAAATCCTGTCATTTGTGACAATCTGGATTAACCTGGAAGATATTATGTTAAGTGAAGGAAGCCAGGCACAGAAAACAAATACAGCCTATTTGTACTCATATCTGGAACTTTAAAACCTTCATTTCATAGAAGAAGAGAATAGAATTGTGGTTACCAGATGGTAGGTTGGGGAGAATTGAGAGAAACTGGTCAAAGATTACAAAATTTCAATTAGACAGGAAGAATACATTCAGAGCTATATTGTATACCATGGTGACATAATAACAACATATTATTACTTAAAAATTGCCAATTAATTTTGTTGAAGTATATTAGGAAATTCATATAGTATCTATATTTAGTCATTTCATGATATATACCTATATCAAAACATGTTATATACACCATAAATATATACAATTCAATAAAATGCAAACATTTAATTAAAGTAGACCAGAAAAAGAAATGATGGCTGAAAATGTTCCCAAGTTAAGGAAAGATATGAACATCCAGGCATATAAGGCTCACAGATTTCTAATCAGATTCAATCCAAAAAATTTGCAAAAGCATGTTAAAATCAAACTGAAAAAGTCAAAGACAAAAAAGATTTGGAAAGCAACAAGAGAAAAGAGGTATGTCACATACAAGGTAAGGTCAAGAAGACCATCAGCAGATATGAAGAAAAAGTTTTGTGGACCAGGAGAGAGAGGGATGATGTATTCAAAGTGTTAAAAGAAAAGAATGACCAACAAGCATACTTAACCTGCTAATACTCCTTCAGAAATGAATGAGAAATAAAGACTGCCCAAGACAATTAAAAGCTGAAAAAGTTCATCACCTCTAGATACTAGCAAAATATACTAACGGGAGAAAATTCTTTAAACTGAAATGAAAACTACTAATTAGTAACATGAAAACATTTGAGAGTATAAAACTCACTGCTGAAGGCAAATATCAAATCTTTTTTTTTTTTCTGGTTGGCTCTGGAAAATTTTTATTTTTTTAAATTTTTTTTCTTTTATTATTCATATGTGCATACAAAGCTTGGATCATTTCTCCCCCCTGCCCCCACCCCCTCCCTTACCACCCACTCCATTCCCTTCCTATCCTCCCCACCCTCTCAATACCCAGCAGAAACTATTTTGCCCTTATTTCTAATTTTGTTGTAGAGAGAGTATAAGCTATAATTGGAAGGAACAAGGGTTTTTGCTGGTTGAGATAAGGATAGCTATACAGGGCATTGACTCACATTGATTTCCTGTGCCTGTGTTGTTACCTTCTAGGTTAATTCTTTTTGATCTCACCTTTTCTCTAGTTCCTGGTCCCCTTTTCCTATTGGCCTCAGTTGTTTTTAAGGTATCTGCTTTAGTTTCTCTGCATTAAGGGCAACAAATGCTAACTAATTTTTTAGGTGTCTTACCTATCCTCACCCCTCCCTTGTGTGCTTTCGCTTTTATCATGTACTCATAGTCCAATCCCCTTGTTGTGTTTGCCCTTGATCTAATGTCCACAAATGAGGGAGAACATACGAT